CGCTCTTCAGCCACGCGCGGAACGGCCTCACCTTTCCCGTTCTCACGGGTTTCGAGAAGGTTAAGGTCGAGAGAGCTATAGATCAGACACTCTCGACTTTGCCTTCCCTCGACCAGGAAGTCTTGCTCAGCAACTGGCTCCAAGATTTCTCGGTCTCGGCCTCGGAATGGCCGAATCTTCAGCCTGCGTACGAGCGTTGGTGCAACTCTACTCGTCAACGTTTTATGTAGAAACCGAAATTAGAATGGCTCGAAGAAGAATAAGGAATGGTTTTATGATATGAGAGTTTATACGCTATCATAGATTGGAGATCAGACCGAATATCAGATATGTTTGTTTACTTATTTGGTGTCAATTTAAATTAAGGTCATCTATAGATTCATTTATCCATGCGTCAATGAATGATGAAGGTGGCAGAGTATCAGACAGAATATCAGTCGCGAGTCTCGAGTGTTGAATTTTGTAAGGGATGCAGGAATTCTGAGATAAAGTCTGGTAAGGGGAATATGAGCCACAGGTTACCCATATCCACGGGCAAGCCGAGCTGCGGGGAGAGCACGAGCCAACGTGAACGAGGGTTAAGGACGACTGGATGAGGCGATTAGGGTTTTAAGATTGAAGAGGTGACAAGTCACGTTGGGAGAGCGGCACTTAGCGGCGACGGGATTAGGGTTTTTTTTGTTTTACCCTACATCCGACCAAAACCTGGTGTCACAAGGATCATCAAACATCAAGCCACGTTACCAAATGAAATTTAGATTTAAACTCAAATTCAATTTAAATCTCTTGCAGAACGGAATTTTAGTAACAACACCAACAAACTAAAAATCTACAAAATTGTATATAAATATCTAAACTTTTACAAAAATCTCTAAATTATAAAATTTTTATATAAATACCTAAAATTTTCTAAAACATTACATAAATACCTATATTTCTAAAAAAACTCTCAAATAAAACCAAAATCCGTCAATAACATCATTATTTTTATTTGAAAAATATTTCAAATTTATATTTATTTGATTTTAAAAAAAAAATCTAGATATTTATATAGATTTTTAAAAATTCGGATATTTATATGAAAATTTTATAGTTCAGAAATTTATATAAAATTTTTATAAAAATTTAGATATTTAGATATTATTTTTCTAAAAATCGAAAGAACTACTTCAGTGAAAACACTTGTATGATAGATACATACATGTCTATTGAATAAAAAAAAATCCCATTTGAATGAAGAGTGCAAAATCTAAACAACTACTTGAAACTAATACTTTAACAAACCAAATAACGGCATAACAACAGAGCCGCTTTGTAAAAAAATGAAGAACGAACGAAAACAGTTTCAACATGTAATAATGTTTTTTTCTTCAGGGGCAGCACAGTAAAACAAAACAGATATAAGAACTCTTTAGCTTACAGTTTCTTTATGTTTGTTTTATCTTTTCGTCTCGGTTTCGATTGCTTCAACAAGAGAAAGCAAATCATCGGTTTCTTTCGTGCCCTAGCTTTGCCCGGAGGTTGAAACTTCCGCACTGCACACGGGACAGACCTGAAGAATATCGCGTCTAGCCTTTAGTTTCGACCGTTCATGTCAGTCAGATATATGAAATGAAATAGTATTTGCTGCTTCTGCAAGAGAGGCAATGAATGAATCCAAAAGGAGTAAACAAACAATCCAAGCGTGTACATTCCCGAAAACCCTCATGGAAAAATTCATCTCGGTATCGAGCTTACTTAAAAGGATTGTGCACAGATGTTAGATTCAAGACCTAGAGCATTGGAAAATCTTGGTTTAGTTGAGTGCTTTTGTTTACTTTCCTTATCTCCATAATGTAAATTTACTATCCTTCAATCAGTTCAGTGTCTACATACCGAAAGACCCTTAATAATTACCAACCTCCATAGTTAAAATTCAACCATGATCATTGTTGTTTCTGCTTAAACTAAGATATAGTCCCTTAAAAAGATTCTTGGGAGATAACTGCATGAGTTTGCAACATTAATAGTTTTTTTAACTGGAACAAAAACAAAAATTTTCTCGTCCCTGAATCTATCAGATTAATAGCAACAATGCAAAGCCTTTCAGAAGGAAGCTAATGCAATTAATTACTAAAAATCGATTCATAACCATGAAATGCATGCATGATTCAGTATTGAAACGAATAAATCATGCTATAAAGATGGAGTTCCAAAGATGAGTAATGTAATACTCCAAGTTCAGATTCAATGAACAAAGGAGATTCAATATCCTACATACCATAACATTGCATGCAACCAAGATAATCATCTCTGCATCAACAACGTTTAAGCTATAAATCAAAGAAGAATGATGACTACCTTGTTTATCTTCAACCAGTTATTTATGCACTCTGGATGGTAAGAATGTTTACAAGAAAGCAGTATCAAGTCATCACCATCCTCATAGTCTAAACGACATATGACACATCTGCACAGCGAAACAAACAAAAGTCATTCATAAACCAAAACACACAAAAAGTAAAAATTGGTTGTGGAAGATTCTGGAATAAAGCATTACGACTCATTGCTTCCATTCTCATTGCTTCCGGCTTTATAGCGCACTGATGGCAATGAAGCTATTGCATCAGCAGACAACCCTCTACTCTCGGTTCCCACTACTTCACCAAGTGCCAGCAACTCCTGTGAACATTGGATATCAGAAATTGTACGCCAGGGGATGTTAAAGAATCTGCATTTCTATATTGAAAAGAATGATGGATCCTGAAGAAAGTATACATGCCTACACTCAAAGCACTACATATTCACATCTTAAAATATAAAATGTTTCACAAAAAATGTCAAATAGAATCAGAAGGCGTAAAAACCATGAATGTTTGCTAACCTCGTACAAAAGTTCGTCAGGATCAACCTCCTCCCATGCATCATCCTGCAAACATAAAGAATACAAAGTGTCAGAGCAACCCGTTGAATGCCTCAGAAAAGCCTCAACGTCAAAATTATTACCAACCCTACATTTTTGCATCATTAGTTTATCTCTTACAATAGCATTTCTTTTTACAAGCAATAACTTATCCAGAAACTGCAGCTTGCAAAGAATGGACCGAAATATTCCATCGAAGATCAGAGTTTAGCTGGGAGACCCATGCAGAAATGATTGTATTCAAAACACTCCCACCATAAGGAGCCCTTTGCAGATAGGTATGACCAATGGCCAGCAGCCAGTTACAGAACATTTACAAATGTTTTTTTCCCTCAGTCGGAACACAAATATTTTTTTGTAACTCGAAAGTATGGTCCTGTGCAAGACACAACCTAGTGCCAACATCACTGTCACTACGATTACACGGTTTCATGTTTCGTTTTCTTTTCCACTGCTGATTAATGCTTCGTAACATTTCAAACGATTGAGAATGTTTGAGATACCAATTGAGATGCTAACACGGTATCAGTAAGTACAAGGTCAATTACCAATGTACCATAGAGTAATCTACAAAAGTAAGCACACAAATTTTCACAAGATCGATTGGCTCGAGTTCAACCAAACACTTTCCTATGCATAATCAAGATTGTCCAAGAAAAGGTCGGGACCAACACAAGGTAACATGTAGAAATACACTATCAAGAAAATAATGCATACTCATAGCCAAGTAGCAAAACATTAGAAAGAGGGAACCGTGTAAGATACATAACTTAGAATGTCTGGTATTGAGCCCAAGATAACGAAGGTTTCCGATTAAAAAGTCTAAAGTATAAAGACTTTACCTGAGGGTTATGATCCTGATCCTCCGCATGTTCGACCTCTGTAACCTCTAAAAGTTAGTATAACCACATCCTATTGTAAAATATCCATTGAACAGGACGGCATGGTGAACGATATAAAATACTCACGATCATTTAAGCCTGCTAGGGAGAACATTCTAGCCGCCATTTCCCGCTCTTCAGCTTCCTGAAGGGCTCTGGCATAAGCCTCATCATCTGAATAAGCACCCATATCGAATTCAGAGTTTTCACCGTAATTTTCTTGACCATCTTCATGCGCATGCACATCAGACGCATCTTCATCAACATACACATCAGTCTCATCATCTTCTTCGTCATCCTCATCCCCATCCTCATAGATATCCCTATCATCATCCTCTGGATCATCAAACTCATCCTCATCGGATAAGTAGCTTCCAGTTTGCCAGCTCCCGTAATCTCTCACTTCATTATTCATGCTCAGCATCATATAAGCCCGTTCCTAAACACCGAAGAACAAGTAAGAAACAACAACCAATCGTCAATTCTAGAGAAACCCATTGGAAACGCCGAATCGGGTTTTGCATATCCTAGATCACAACCACCAAACATACCCCAACAATTCCCATCCGAAAAAAAAAGCCCTAACAAAATTGAGCAACCCAAAACACATTGACGGAGCAAGAACATCACCTGTTCTTGAAGCGTACGAGCGAGAGCAAGGTCCGCATCGATTTGGCTAAGATTAGTGAACGGAACTCTGGCCGAGGCGGCTTGGCGAGGTTGCTCCTGCTCCGCCACCGAATTAGATCCATTCTCTGCCATCGCCGCTGCCGCCTCACTCTCCTCCCCTCCACTTCCAGTTCGGTCGCCGGAGACGCCGGAGTCGCCGTTCTCCCGATTCTCCGGTAACCGTCCGTCAGTTTCGGTCATCTTGGAGGTCCGGTCGACGATGTTGTCACTGTCAGTAATGCCTCCGCCTCCGCCTTCGCCGCCGGCGCTGCTGTTGTGGGTCGTGTTGTCATTCTTCATGGACATGGATGATCAATCTAGGGTTTTCGAATCGGATTTGCGCAGATGAAGTTGGAATTTTTTTCTTTTATCGGGCGGTGTTGGTATCGAAGAGGAATAATTCAGGAATCTGAAGGGGAAAAAAAACAAACAAAAAATGACGCGTCGCGAGGCCAAAGAGAAATGAGTGCCTAGCTCATTTCGAAACTTTGAAAAATAAAAAGAGAAAATTTCGAATTTTACCCCAAACCTTTTATTTATTCCAAAATGTTACCGACATAATATTTTATTATTCCTTGGCCCTCGTATAGTTTTTTTGGTTAACGAGGAGGTCCACTCTTCGGCCCAGCTAGGCCCACTGGACCCTCGTATAATTTTCCCTATTGAAATAGGAATAAGCTGAGTTAAACCGAACCATATTTTCTGAACGATTTCGGTATAGAATTAAAAACCGTCCGGTTTGGTATTTTAATTTATATCATATGAATTTTTTTTTTTGTAAAAATGAAATATTTTTTTTTTTGGTAAAATGTGATTTGGTATTAATGCTGTGAAGTTCTCAAAATATACAAAACCAGTCCAACATAATGACTGTAATAGAGCAAACTAAATAGGAAATCCCATGTGCAAGTGGTAAGATTACATTTTCTTATTCGCCTTCTCTTTTCTTCGATCTGTTACGTTAGCGCCTTCTAATGTCTTCAGTCAAAAAATACCAATGCTCTAGAAGTACACTGCTCGGTGATGTCTTTCTCAGCTTTGCTCCGAGTAAAATTGTCCGCATCGTGCTGTCCAAAATGAAATGTTTGTTTTCCCATATAACATAAAACCCATCGTATAATTTCCTGGTCTTTTGCATGAGATCGTACCAATCACATGAGAAAAGTTTCATTCTGATATATTAATTAAGGGTAAAATAATTTAGCAAATATTGACGCCAAATCGAGTTTGTCCGCTGCTTGACAAATATTTGCTCCTCTCATGCATACACGATAATTATATGAATGTCTTTTCCATGTTTCAACAAAAATGGGCCAACTCCTCATGATTTTTTTTTTTGGTAAAGGTTGTGTATATATTAAAACTAAAAAAATAAACACCTTGGGGTACAAGAGAGTTCTCTGCATATGATTTTTCTTGATGAACTAGATTGAATTCAAAATTTTAAAACTAAAAAGGATTTAATCAAATTTATGAGTTAATGTCGAGATACTTATTCTTTTTAAGAATAAATCTAAAGATTTCTCGTGTTCCTATGTGGCATTCCGTCAAACAAAAGTTTTAATATATCATATATACTTAATGACAGAAGTGTGAGAAAATGTTTAATCAATGTTCAATACATATAAGAAACCAAAATATTAAAAAAACATTACGACCGAATAATTTCAATATCACATCTTTTTTTATAAATCACCAGATGTCAATGACGCTTAACTATGAACTAGCACATATAAGTCCACATCATTGTCATCAAAAGGATGGTCACGGACTTGTCACGGACGAGAAACATATTTCGAGCAGAACAGGAAGAATCTCGATGTTGAAAACATCGATATCGACATTATATAACATCGATATCGACGTTCCTCAATATCGATATCGATGTTTCCAGTCACCTCGAGATATCAGATTTTCAGATTTTCTGATCTAGTATTCCACAACATCGACATCGATGTTCGCATACCTCGAGATCTAAGCAGTCCAGAAATCGACATTCCACAACATCGATATCGACATACCTATACATCAAGATCGCCACATTTTAAGAGAATATCAATGTTGGAAAACATCGATATCGATATTCCTGACATCGAACATCGATATTTCGAGATTTCTATAAAATGACCGTACAGATTAGAGAGAGGGGTTCGCACATTTTCACATTTTTCGAGACTTTCACTTGTACTTCGGTTACTCGACATTTTGGGAATGAATTGGAGTGGAGATTGCTACGTTTCATTGTTCAATGATTGATTCTTCATACTATAAGTTTTTGATAACACGTATTTTGGGTGACGTTTTGATATAGGATGTCTAGCGTATTTCACTCTATTTTACATATTTGTAGGATTCTAGGGTTTATTTGGCTTCGATATTGCATGGTTGTGTTCTTTGATGTTTAAACAGGTTTTCATGTATAAGAAGAGCAAAAGGAGTGGAAAATATGGGATATGGAACATCACGGACGAAACGAGAACATTTGGAGTGTTTCCAGGGAAAACGTGAAGCTTAGGAAACGTCAGATCTTGCAAGTCCGATAACTTTCACTCTATAAGTCCAAATCATACAATCTCTAAATCATTGGAAAGCTCTCTTCGATATCTACGCAAGACACCAATCACTCAAATCCGATATCGGAGCAGGAAGTTATGAGCGAATTCGTGAAGCCTGTCAAAACTGCTCAGAAATACGACAATATCGGTTCGGGTTTAGGTTCGGCATCGCAGAAATTGGAAAATTGCTCAGAAAGTGTAACCGATCGGTTTGGCTTTGCCAAAACGATCGGTTTGACCCCCAGATTCGGGAAAACTTCCAATTTTGTCCAAACCGAAGGGAAATAAGAGGGAAAAACCTCTAGGTCGAAATTCATTCAGACTTTTCACAAAAAACACACCCTAAAACACACAAGAAGAGGGAGATTATCAAGAGGCAAGAGATCGGAGTAGAAGACGGAGATTACAAAGCCGGGAAATCGACTAAACATTCTTCATTTCTTCTATTTTACGATGTTTTGTTGTATTGATATGAACCCCGACGTCTCGATGTTTAGCGATAATCCCATAGCTGTAGGTTAGGGACTCGCTATGTAGGGATCTTTGGTTTTTATTTCCAGACTTTTGGATTTGTTTATTCCATTCAGTTTATTGAATTGTTTTTAATGCTTTTGATCTCGTTGGCCACTTGGTTGAATGAACTTAGGGTTTTAATTCACATAGACATATGAGATTCTAACCTGGAACTAATTCAATAAATAGAACATGTATTGCATTGAGAGATGAATATTTGCCTAGGGATTATGATAGCGTTCGTTCATGCATCCAGGGTTTTAGACTATTGAATCGAGAGATTAGTAGGATAAAGTCTGGATAGTGAGGTTAGACTCGAGAGGGTTAATCTCTACTTTAGAGCTTGATGTTGGGTTTCCTGGGATCTCATGAGCGAATCCTATTCCTAAGAGATCGATTCTAGGGTTTGCGCAGCGGATGTAAAACAAAAATTTAATAAACCCTAGAACCATGCTGCTATTGAAATCGTAGAAACGTTAGAACGCTTACCTCAATCGATCCGGGGCCTGTATCAACTGAAGAATTCGTTCGATCACGAAAGGCAGGAAGATTACCTCGCCCTCTACACGTATCCACACCTCGGGATGGATTCCAACGATTGGAACTTGTCTGCTAGGACTCGAATCTCTATTCGGTTTGTGCACTTTGATAAAACGAGACTTTGAATTCCTTGAACTCTTTGGATCTCACCAAAAGCTCTTAGAATTCTCTGAAAGTCGGCTCTAAAAAGTCTCTATCTAATTAGGGTTCTTAATCTCCTTCTTATAAAGTGATTTAACCCTAATTCGGTTTAATTTCGGAAAAACTGAAGCCCGGAACGGACGGTCCAGAGATACACGCGGACCGTCCGTTCCAGCACGTGGAACGGACGTTCCGCTCACGTGGACCGTCCGGTCTGGTTCGGGCGGACCGTCCGTTCTGGACTTTCTGGTCCGTCCGTTCCAGCCCCTTCCGTCTCGGTTTTTCGTCGTTTTCTCTCGTGCATTTGTCCTTCCCTGCGTGTGTGACCCTGTAGGCTCATTCGACATAGCAGTATAACCTGAAATCCCTATTTCGGGTATACAAGTCATAGGCGGTCTCTAGCAAGACACTATGACTACCTATCTCGAATAGAGTTTGTTCGTGATCTTTACGAACGCCAGAGATGATTCCGGCTGATGATCCTTTTGTATCGCGATATCATATGTCGAACATAAGGCATGGACAAGCCACCTCATCTGATTCGACTGCTTTCTCGTTCACTGAGTTCGACTGTCTGAAATAGACGACGTTCGTCTATAGTGCGGCCACACATTTCTACAGTCTCGCTCACACGAGGGGCCCAGCGATATCTCTCTCTTTTACGAGAGGTACAAATCCCGTCTTGACTATCTACAATCCAGTACATGATTCGTTTCGTACCTGATATACGCCTTTATAGTCCTCCTGTTACGCAGGACGTTTGACGTAATCAAAGCACGCAACTCCTCATGTTGGATTCCGTAAATATCTCAGGTCTTAGGATCCAATCATGGAACCGTCATATGAGATTCAAGTCATGACGCTAGTCCATGTGACAATCTCATGCGGGTCAATCCAGTATTCCATTCTCCAACGAATACCTATGATAGTGATCGTATCCAATACCTATGATCATCTATGTGATCATCAATCACACATCATACTAGTCTTATTATGTCATCATTCCCATAATGACACAAGACTAGGGAGTTAAGTATCATTCATAATGATACATGGATTTCATAACAGATCTAGCATGCAAGAACATGTAATGAATAAAATACTCTCATAAAAACACATAGAAAGTATCAATACATCGAATGTATCTGAACAAAGCTCATAATCAGTACATCATAGAGCACTAAACCAACAAAAA